CCACAGGCAGATTGTGTGTATGAGTTAAATGGCTGTTCTCCACAGCAAGGCAGGAATCTTAACAACAATTTTCTTTGAAACAACAACTAAAAGAGCAAAATTACTGCCAAACCATCATCTCATTCTTTATTTACACTCTTAGCTAAAAATATCAGTAATAATAAAAATAATCCCTACATTTGGTATAGCACCTTATCATGTCATTCAAATCATCTCAAAGTGCTTCATGGGAATTACTGTGAAGCGATTGTGTAGGTATAGGCCAAAGTTCCATGATTCTGGTAGCCAAATGTTGTGAGGGTTAATGTCGAGGGGGGCTTCGGTGGTTGGGGTGTGTGTGTGGGGTGGGTTTGCTAATGTTCAGTTGAGGCTTGGTATTCCGGAGGATATGTACATCTTCACAACAACAGCGAATAAAATCAAGTGATTCATTCTATCCTGTAACTAGTATATAATAATAATATAATAATCCTTGCATTCGATATAACACCTTATCATGTCTTCGTGACGTCTCATATAATTTGAATGTGGATGAGTTTCCCACATTAAAGGTGCTATATAAATGCAATTTGTTGTTGTTGAATGTGGGCATGTCTGTTGCCTTCAGAAACCATGCTAGCTATATCTCCTTTATGCTGTGTATTATATCATGAGAACACTACCAGCCTTGTCAATCACCCGCTCAGTAGCTCCAAACAATACACGATACGTTATTGGTCACAAGGCCAATAAAACTTTATTGCTGGTCAATAAAGAGATAAATCTTGCGTGTATACATATCATTGAAAGTCTCTTGTTATTAAAAAAAGTCATTCAACTTGAAAGATTGCTGTAAGGATTTTAAATTATTGGAAAATTATCAAGAATAAATTATGTCATTAGTGCCATTGTGCCCAACATTTAAAAAGCAGCTTAACGAAGTGATGGGTGATGGTAGAGTGGGTATTCTGGACGGATAATAATAATAATAATCCTTGCATTTGATATAATGCTTATCACGTCTCTGAACAGAATATATTCTAAAGTGAATTGACTGTATTTTGTGGCAATGAGGATGAGATCAAATGGACCAAAGGGTCTACTTCATCCAAACCCTTCTTGTGATGCCTAATTCACTTACACACCATAACCAAATCTATAGATGTTACACAAATACACAGACACACAAATATGCCCCCAAAATAACAACACATTTGAAAAATTGAAATAATGGCAGCCTTGGAATCAGTGTCACTGTCAGGCTCACACAGTTATATGCTGGTAATGTGCCACAATTCTTTGGAAGTGCAGTTTAATTTTGTGTTCAACTAAGGGTGATCTTATAGATGCTGCAACATTTCCACCAGAGCCATAAAGCAATGTCCAAGTATCCTCAAAGTCGTTGAAATGTGAAGGCAGTTATAACTCAAATTGAAGAGATAGTAGCCGTGAGCAAATGGTCAGTTGAATTAGTTTATATTCGTTGTCAGCTTCAGGATGTAGTTTGTATTTAAGAAGGTGGGAATAGTTTCTGTGGACTTTGGTTAAGAATGCAGTGATGTGTGCCATAGACCGTCTGTGCTGGCTGGAGAACTTATCAACTGCTCTCCTGCATCTCTGACTGATTCCTGCCCACTGTGCGTACCTTTATTTCCCATCTGCACTGATTGTTGGGGAAGGAGCCATTGTTTTGATCAAAAATCAATGCCACACAAGTAAAAGAGAGGAAAGAAACAGTTCCAATCATGAAGAAAAGTAGATACCTAGAGAATGCACATGTTCATCATCCAAAATTTGTTGGGGTACATTTAATGTGATTCTGCATGTCCGGCTCGTGGAGGATCGGTTGAAACAACTGGGATCACAATATAGCCAAGTGACGTTGGCTCATGTTTTGAAGGATAAATCTGCTTGACCTGCTCGTGGGATCCAGAGATCCTTTCCAATGATTCTAGCAAAAAAGCCACATTCTGAAACAGGATTTCTAAAGGTTGGTTGTTTGGTCATTTTGAAGAGCTGTTTTATGCCCAAATAGAGGGTCTTGTAGCTTTTCTGGATGGAAATAAACTGGCATTTTGTCAAAGCAGCCATTCCCCAAGGATAATGGCTTCTCTCAAGACATGAAAAAAGAATCATCACAACATCGAAATCTCTTCCTCTACCACACCTCCCCCTTCCACCAACTTTTGTCGAACAAAAATGACCAGTGTCCTGGTATTCGTAAATGTTATTTTTTTGTGAAGAGATGCGATTTATCAATAGCAGCACAGACTATAAGGTGTGACTTTTCACTTGCTAAGCATCTTAAGCCCAGCAAAGTAAGTGAGGGTAGACAGTCTCTCTGTGCAAACTGCAGAGGAAGATCTGATCAGAGGAGCTGCACTTCACCTCACACAGAACTAGTTACAACAACAACAATTACTTGGATTTATAAAGCGTCCCCCACGCCGGACGGCATCTCAGAGCACTTTTCAGTAACAGATCCCAGGGCCGAGCCAGGAGGATGGGGAGGAAGGTGACTAAAGGCGTGGTTGAAGAGAAAGTCTTCAGCAGGGACCTGAAAATAAGAAGAGAGGGAGCGAGGCGAATGGAGTGAGGAAGGGAATTCCTGAGCCTCGGAGCATAGTGGCTGAACGCACAGCCACCGAGCGTGGAGCGGAGGACTTGAGGGATGAGGAGGAGGCCAGACCTGGAGGAACGAAGTCAACGGGTACTGTTTTTAGGAGAGAGGAGGTCAGAGAGGAAGAGGGGTGCAGAGGGGTGGAGGGATTTGAATACAAGGGTGAGGATCTTGAAGTCGATCCTCTCTGGGACAGGCAGCCAGTGCAGTCTGGCAAGGACTGGGGTGATCGGGGAGCAGAGTTTGGTGCGGGTGAGAATGCGGGCGGCAGAGTTTTGAATGATTTGGATTTTATGGATGGTAGTGGATGATAGAGATGACAAAGGCATGGACTAGGGTTTCAGCAGCTTTCGGAGAGAGCTTTTGGTGGAGACGGGCGATGAGGTGGAAGAAGGCTGTGCTGGTGAGGGACTGGATGTGGAGGAGGAAGGATAATTGGGGGTCGAACCTGATGCCTAGGTTGCGTACAGGTTTGGAGAGTTTTAGGGGGAGGTCAGGGAGGTGGAGGAAGTGAGAACCATGAGATTTTAGACGTTGACGAGAGCCAAAGAGTATGGCTTCAGTCTTGTCAACGTTCAGCTGAAGGAAATTTTCGCTCATCCAGCCTCTTAGGTTCAACAGGCAGGCTGACAGAACATCAGGGGACTGGGGGTCGCAAAGAGAGGTGGAAAAAAGAGTTGGGTGTCGTCCGCGTGCATGTGGAAATGTACCCCATGTCTGCGGATGACATCCCCAAGAGGGAGCATGTAGATCAGAAAGAGGAGGGGGCCAAGGATGGATCCTTGGGGTACCCCACAGATAACCGGGTGAGAACGGGAGGAGAAGCCGTTTGTGCAGATGTACTGCTGGCGGTTTGTGAGGTAGGACTCGAACCATGCGAGTGCGTCTCACTGAGGTAGATGACGGAGGAAAGGTGGTGGAGGAGGATGGCGTGATCGACTGTGTCGAACGCGGCGGAGAGGTCCAGGAGGACAAGGAGGCAGAGGGAGCCCGGGTCACAGATAGAGAGGATGTCATTTGTGACTTTCACAAGCGCAGTCTCTGTACTGTGGGCGGAAACCGGATTGGAGGGGTTCGAAGAGGGAGTGGGAGGAGAGGTGTGCGCAAAGTTGATTGATAACAACGCATTCTAGGACTTTTGCGAGGAAGGGCAGGTTAGAAGTAGGGCGGTAGTGGCTGGGGTTGAGGAATCTAGGGAAGGTGTTTTGAGGACAGGGGTGATGACAGCAGTTTTGAGAGGGGCAGGGACTGATCCGTAGGAAACTGATTGATGACGTCAGCCATTAGTGGCAGAGGAGGGGGAGCTGGGTGACCAGCAAGTTGGTGGGGAGGGGGTCGAGGCAGCAGGTGGTGGGTTTCATTGAGGTGATGGTGGGTGAGGGGGAGGAGGGAGAGATGGGGAGGAAGGAACGTAGGAGGGGGTGGTGGTAGGAGCGGATGATAGGGAGGATGAGTGGGACAGAGAGGGTGTGGTGGTGGGTGACAAGAGGCAGGTGGATGAGACTGCCTGGCGGATGTTATGAATTTTGGATGAAAAGAAGTCCATGACCTCCTCGCACTTGGCATTTGATGTGAAGATTGAGGAGGCCTGAGGGGGAGCACGGAGGAAGTAGTGGGTGGTGGAAAAAAGGATTTTAGGCTAGTGTTTAGCCTCCAAGATGATGTTGGACTAAAAGGCCATCTTCGCTCATGTCAAGGAACGGCGGTAGCTGTGGAGATGCTCGAGCCACAGTTGGCAGTGGACTGTCAGGCCAGTTTTCCGCCATTAGTTATTGTCTAAGAGGCAGATAATTATTGACTGAAGACAGCAATTGAAAATAAAGTTTCACCTAAAGGAAGAGATACCCCATCCGACCTGCTGTCCAATCGGTCATGTTGGTCCCTGCTACTGTAGCGTGTTTGTAACCTGTGCCAACCATATATCAGCACCTTAAAGTGCTGACGGGACACTGGAATTGAAGTAGTCTAAACAATGGAATTTGCTGCATGAGTTAATAGTGGTATCAACTTCACCTATTAATTAAATCCATTTAAGGTTTTAATGTTGATAACATGGACATGTTTATGTCACAAATAAAGACCCTGTGAATTTTCACTAGAGATTTTAAGACTGTTTGTCTAATTTTACTTTAGATTCAGCCATTAACTTTACAAATGTAAAGACGACTTTAATGCCCAGAGAACTGTCCTGTGTTCTGCTGGCGTTCGGGACAGATTCTCGTCAGATGGGTATTGGATTTGGCACTCAGGAATGAGAAGACTTAGCTCAGTGATGTGTTGTCGACAGAATCTTCTTTAGTAACTGTGTTTCTATTTCATATGAGGAGCACTGATTCTCTGTGTAATTCTTCAGTATTCTTTCTGGAAAGTTTTAAAGTCTTGATTCATTTCTTTCTTTTAGACTGGCATGGCTTTAACCTATGATCCCACCGCGGCTATGCAGAATGGGTGAGTATTTCATTATGCAAGTAGCTGTTCTTCATAATAACAACAACAAAATTACAGTTATGGAGCGCCCTTCATGTCAGGAGGACTTTGCAAGGCGCTGGACAGTCAGCGGTCAGGACCCGAGCATGGGGGAGGGGTGGGGTAGGGATGAGGGAAGGCAGAGAGGTGGGAGGATGACTGAAGGCACGATCAAAGAGGAGAGTCTTGAGACCGGCCTTGAAGGAGGTAAGGGAGGAAGTGAGGCAAAGCGACTGTGGGATGGAGTTCCAGAGTGTGAAGGCAGAGAGGCTGAAAGCCCAGCCACCGATGGTAGGGTGGGTTGGGCGGGAGACATGGAACAGGCCGGAGCCCCCTGAACGGAAGGACGGGCAGGTTGGTAGGGAGTCAGCAGGTCAGAGAGGTAGGAGAGGGCAAGGCCATGGATGGCCTCTAAAGTGAGAACGAGGATCTTGAATTCAATTCTCTGAGGGATGGTAAGGCAGTGGAGTCGGGCGAAGGTGGGAGTGATGGGGTCACGGAGCCTGGTGCGTGAGAGTACACGAGCTGCAGAGTTTTGGATGATCTGCAGCTTGTGAAGGGAAGAGTTGGGAAGGCCGATAAGGAGGGAGTTTCCATAATCGAGCCTTGATATGACGAATGCGTGGGTGAGGGTTTCGGCAGCCTGAGGGGTGAGGCAGTGCCGGAGTCTGGCAATGTTGTGGAGGTGGTGGTAAGCAGTGCCTGTCATGGCGCGGATGTTGGGGAAAAAAGACAGTTCAGGGTCAAGCAGCCGATACTGTCAGTGCCCGAGGTCGGAGGCACTGGCGCGAGCCAATCAGGAGGGCCTCGGTTTTGCTGACGTTCAGTTGGAGAAAGTTGTCCCTCATCCAGGACTTGATGTCGGACAGGCAGTCAGTCAGGATGCCAGTAGTCCTGGAGTTGAGGGTGGAGACAGAGAGAGAGAGTTGGGTGTCATCTGCATACATGTGGAAATTTACCCCATGTTTGCGGATGATGTCACCAAGGGGGAGCATGTAGAGGGTGAAGAGGAGGAGACCAAGGACAGAACCCTGAGGAACATTGAGACGGTGCGGGGGCTGGAGGAGAAGCCGTTTGCAGAGACAAAGTGGAGGCGGTGTGAAAGGTAGGACCTGAACCAGTCAAGGACAGAACCTTGAAGGTTGAGGTGGAAGGAGAGGCGGTGGAGGAGGATTGAGTGGTCCACAGTATCAAAAGCGGTGGAGAGGTCGAGGAGAATGAGAAAGCAGAGGGAGCCCTGGTCACACATAGTCAGGATGTCATTTGTGACCTTGACTAGAGCAGTTTCCGTGGGCAGTTTTCATGGGCAGCATGGAAACCTGATTGGAAGAGCTCATGGAGGGAGTGGGAGGAAAGGAAAGAGCAAAGCTGAGAGGTGACGGCGAGTAGTGGGGAAGGAGGTGGAGCTGGGATTTAAGGAGAGGGGTGGGGATGGGGCCCAGGGAGCTGGTGGTGAGCTTCATGGAGGATATGGTGGTGATGACAGAGGAGGGGATGACAAGTTCAAAGGTGTAGAAGGAGGGATGCCTTCAGGAACACAAGTAGATCACATCGAGTTTCCAGCAGGTCGTAGCTAAGTACTTTTGGTAACCGGAAGTAATCCTGTTCTGCACAACTTAGATTACTTATTAAGGAATCTCATTAAGAAGTGTTAAACACTGTATTCCCGCATCCCCCCCATCCCACCACCACCACTCCGGTTGCCCCATCTACCACACTTGAATCAATCTGGAATTTAGCTTCAATATCGAGGCATGAGACCTATTCCAACAAAGCTGAGGGCTGTAAACTAAATGCGTCTCTGGTAAAGAAATACCGGATTTATGTCAACATTTTATATCTGCTATTTGCCACGTTGCTAGCCCAACATTAGTTGTACGTCAGTGTCAGTGATGAATAATCATGTACCAGTATTTACACATTTAAGGGTTAACTTGCATGAAATGCTATAAACATGCTTAAGTGCTCCTCTCAGCTCCAAGCTATTTGCTCTATAGGGAGTGGGAGAACCTACTGCCAAAAGACATAATATATTTAAAACTACCTCCCTTCCTGCATGCCCTCCCCCTAGTACATTACATTAATAAACAGGGAAGGAAACTCACCATCATACCCTCAAGAGTTACAGACACACAGAATGCTTTCCTCATATTCTGAATTAAATGCATTAGTAAACCAGTCTTTATTACCACAGTGCTTCCGAATGTTAATCCCTGTAGTACAGCTAGGCTGGAGCCATGCACTAATTATTTTGTAATAGAGTTGCCACAGCAGCAATTGCTGCAAAATATTCTTTTTTTNCTAATATGACCCTACCTGTGGTTCACTGTTAATCACCAGTCTCTTTCTTAAAAATGTCAAAATGTTTCCAGGTGTTGCAAAAAACCTTAGAATAATTCTTTTTTTCAGCATAAGTATGTGTATAAATATTTAATCGAGCTCTGTCACAAGGGGCGATGGCAATATAGAAAATCCACTTTGGATGCAATACATTTTCAGTGTGCATCAGAATTTTACCAAGGCTCACAGGGATTCACACACGTACACATAAGAAAATAGGCACATATGTAGACATATGAGAGAGAACAGAGAGAGAAATAATGTCATATTTTGGCTGTCAGGCTCACGTTGGCAAACACTTTGAGAATGAAATATTATGGCTGAAGGACATCTTTAAACATGAGCAGTCAGCGTTGCCTGACCTTTGATCTGTGCTATTTCACAAAGAACCATTGTAAATGTGATTCTTATGAAACCTCATTGCCCAGGAACAGACTTTAGAAGTTGAAAAGGGAATGATGCCAGCTGCTGTCTTGGTCTAGAACTTTGTTTTCTTACACTAATACTGTGTTTGCCTCCTACAGTTTTTATTCTTCACCGTACAGTATTGCCACGAATCGTATGATTGCGCAGACATCTATCACACCATTCATTGCTGCTTCTCCTGTTTCCACGTATCAGGTAGGAGGGAGTTTGCCACTTTGTGGTGGAAGCTGCTCTTTATTTGTTTTATTACAAGCACATTATTTTGCCCACAAACGTTAGCAGCGGGACTCTCAGTGTACCTTTCAAGCATTCAGCAGTTCGCTTTCTTATTGTCACTTGTGCAAGAGCAGGAGCTTTGTCAAACCTCTGAGTTGGTTGTGAGATTCTTTGATGAGTTGGTGCTGGCTGCAAGCCACGGGAATGTTACACCTGAGGTCTAGTGATGAAGACGTCTCATGTTTGTTTCTCCAGCAGCCCTGACACTCTCAGACTTTGATTCAGATTTGTTCGGTTGCAAGAGACACTGCGAGGCAGTCTCTTCATTTACTTGGAACATTTGTGGATACGTGTTCCAGCTCACCTGTCCATCCCTGGCTGGCTCGAAGCCATTGTTTGATTTGCAGATCACCCATCAGTTCCTCTGTCCCTATCTCACACCATGTTCTGGGCGACATAGGTGCTACTATGTTAACATAATCCCACAGGCATCCAAAAATGTCTGTCTTTTTCAGGATGCTTTTATTTCTGAATAGTAAATTTGTAGAAAAGTGTAACTGTCTACCAACATCAGTTAGTCTGAAGGTAAAAAGGGAATTCTGTCATGTCTTCTATGCTTGAGTCGTTTACAGACTCCAAGGATCACTTGCCAGGAACAGACACGAGCTCCAGCTCTCCAACATTGCTGACACACTGATTGTTTGTCATCCATCCCATGTTGAAGTAGCTCCTGCTGTGTCTACCCTCAGTTGTGTCTGACTGTTATTTTAAAATGAGACACTGTGTTTGCACCTGTACCCTGACTCGGTGGCCCAGTCTGATGGAATCAAAATCTCTTCTCTCTAATGGCTCCAATGGTCCTGGGAGGTAAAGATATCTCCTGCCCCTTGATCCCATAGCTCATGCTTTTTATATATCAGGGAACCCTCACAGTAGATTAATTAGTTAATTAGTCAGGTGGATCTATTGGATATCATCAAACTTTTTTTAGGAGGAAAAATGATGGCACGAAGGCAAAAATTTGAATCCAATTGAAATGAGGAGGGATGCGTTTCTTTAATGTTGAGACACATAAAACAAGATTACATTTTCTCACAACTGCCATTGGCTACTCGTGAGGCTTGAAAGGTTTGCTAAGCTTTCAGAAAGTACATGCAGGCACCTGCACAACCTCAGTGTGTGGTAAAATGCAGAGTGAGAATCCGATAGCGCAGTCTAAAATGTTGCCGAATGCTCAGTTATCAAGTCAGGGAGCGAGCTTGTTACATCATGCTGGTTTTCCTCTCACAAGCAGAACTCTAAATTACTGCCTGTTTATCAAACTTTAATTTTCCAAGCCTGCAGCTTGTGCAGATTTGCTTAATGTACATTTGTGGACTAAAGATCATTGTATAGGTTTGAGTGTGTAATGCATTTGTTGATGCATTGTGATTCATTTGGTTCGTTTTGCACACAGGTCCAGAGTACATCATGGATGCCTCATCAACCATATGTTATGCAACCAACAGTAAGTTGTATTGATACCTTGTTTTCTGAGCAGATATTTCTGTCAAAGCCGCAGTCAGCCACCTAGTGCACAGGCAGGGTTTTGGCAGAGTAAAGTGGACTGGGCACATTGAAGTGGTTGATGTGACTTGTGTCCCTTTTGCAAGGCACAGTTACAGCAAACAAGGAGGTTCCAATATTATGGATAGGCAGAGAAGCCGGTTACAAGGGTCTGTGTTGCATGTACATTAAAAGGTGTATCGCTCGTTTCAACATGTGGTAGCCAGGAACACAAGTGGTTAAAAAAAATGTTTCACTTGAATTATTCACCTTTGACACACTCAAAGAACTGCAGAGACAAACTTGTTTTCATTGGGGAGAAGATGATTGGGGGGAGGAAGCGGCAAGATCCAGGTCTTTCAAATGATGCAAGTATTGATACTTCCGGTGCAACTAGACTTGGTCTATGAGCATAGGTTTAAACTAACACAAATCTCTAGTGACAAATCTCTAGCAGATTCAAAGAGCTGTTATCACGTGCTGTATTGTGTATGTGGCTCAGACTGCCACCAAAACATTCAAGCTGTCTTAACTAACTCCTTTCAAAAACAACTGGCTTAATGTCTGAGGCCTGAAATCTCTCACTGCCTTAAAATTTGGGGTTGTGTGGATTTTGGGGGAAAAACTAAATTTGGTTTTGATGTTCAGTTTTGATGTGAACTACAAAAAATAATTTGACTAACGAATTTATTTTTTTCCCCCAAAACCTGCACAATCCTAAGTTTTAAGACAATGGTCTTAAAGCAAAAATATGTACGTTTCAGTCTTCCAATTAGGAACAATATTGAAAGGGTATAGGGACAGGTAGAGCCTGAGATAAAGCCACATGATTTTTGTGCTGCTGAAGGCAGGTGAGAGGACTGTTGTTTGTAAGGGAGCAAGTCAGGTATGAGAAGGGAAGATGGGAGCATGAATAAATATTCCCAAAGTTTTTCTTGCTCATATTGAGTATTTGTTAAGAACCTTCCTCTGGGAGACGGAGTGGCTTACGGTCACAGTTGATTATCTCTTGCGTGGTTGGTGGAGTCAGTTTATAAACTTCACACAATTTGAAAGATACTCATTAATAATTTAAATTTATCAGCCAGTGTACTCAGTTTGAAGTTACAGAAAAATGAAATATAATATCAGGACATTCATAACATTTCATAACAGACCCGGAGTGATAATTATTACATTCACTGTGTTATTAAACCACATTTTTCACACCATTTATTTTCACCCATGGCTTAACACCTGAGATGGATAACCACAACTTGCATCTTTATAACGCACCTCAAGCAGGGTAGGATCCCAGAGTGCTTGACCAATTAACAGAAGCTCCTTGGATTTCTATTTTAAATCATTTCCTGCCCCCTTCCTCTCCAAAGGGCCCAAAATACTTATATTTAACCCATGAGAATATTCCTAATAATAATAATCCTTGAATGTGATATAGTACCTTATTATGTTGGAAAATGGATCAAAATGCTTCACAGGATTTATTATTAAAAAAATCGTTGCAATTGATATAGCACCTTATCATGTCTTTGAGACGTCTCAAGGCGCTTCACACAATATACTGTAAAATGAATTGACTATCTTTTGTGGGCGAAACGTGGCAGCCAATTGTGCACAGCAGTGGTTCACAAACAGTCGTGCATTGAGTGACCAAATTATTTTTAGAAAAAAGGCAACTGAACTTGTATCAAACTTATGTGGACTCACAGTGCCACTGTCCTCTGTAAAGTCACAGTGCCACTGTACTTGCTAAAGGCACATTGCCACTGTCACGCCTGTAAATCCTAAAGAAGGTTGATAGTCTGAATTTATAAGTATTTAAAAATTCTAATACAAGCTATTCAGGTTAATTAATAATTGATTACCCTAGCTTAGGTGCCCATCCAGCATTGATAAGCAGTTTGAGATGTCATCCTGAAGTGAAAGGCGTTATATAAATGCAAATTGTTTTGTACTTTATATCAAGCTGTACACTCCAAAGAAGGTTTGAACCCAGGTCTGTTGTGGATAAACTGATCTCAGCCGGCGCAGCAGTGGAGATTTTCCAATTAGCCTCTGCACGCTTGGACTAAGCCGTTGACAAAAAACACATAAAGAAAGATCACTTTGTGCAAAAAGGTTGACTAGGGTCCATTGTGCCTCAAACTGAGCACCTTCAGTGATCCAAACTCCACTTAGTCTTAGCCTGTAAGATCATTTTACATTAATATTTAAGATTATGCATAATTTTGGACAATTCTTAAATTCAGGCTGTGTTTGAAAGTTTTTTTTAAATTTACTGAATTTAAGAGTTTTCAACAATTCTGCTTGATTTACACAGATTCACATAAATTGTAGATTACAGAGACAGGTCATTCAGCTCAACTAGTCCGTGCCGGTATTTATACTCCAGTTGAGTCTCCAACCATTCCTTATTCCTTCCCATATCCTTCTATTTCTTTCTTCCTCATGAGCATATCTAGCTTCCTCTTAAATGCATTGTTACTATCTGTTCAACCACTGCTTTGGACAGTGAGTTCCACATTCTCATTAACTTCTGCGTGAAATAGTTCCTCCTAAATTCCATTTTAGATTCCCTAGTCACTATCTTACACTTGGGTCTTATGGCTCCCAAACCAGTGGGAACAGTCTACTTATGCTCAATGTGAACTTTTAAAACAGAATACACCTACAAATACACCTATGCTTGTCTACAAATAATAATAATAATCCTTGCATTTGATATAGCGCTTTTCACGTCGGGAGGACGTCCCAAAGCGCTTCACAGAACATACTGCAAAGTGAATTGACTGTATATTTGTGGGCGAACGCGGCAGCCAATTGCGCACAGCAATGTCCCACAAACAGTCGTAGATTGAAAATGACCAATTAATTATTGTTTTTGGTTTTTGAAGGGATTATCATTAGGCGTGTGGAGTAAGGAAACTTGCCCAAGGTTTCGCCCTCTGCCTGGAATTGAACTCAGGTCTCTCACTTGCAAAGCGAGTGCTCTAACCACTGAGCTACAGGACTCCACAAATACACTGTCACTTCATTGTACAATAAATCCTATAAAGCATTTTGATCCATTTGACAACATAATAAGGTGATTATTATGTTGGCAAACGGCACTTCAGAATTGTTGTATACTCCAAGATGGAGGACAAGTTTTCAGCCTCACCATTCATGCAGAGGGAACACTTTAGCCGCTTCCAGCCCACATATCCCTACTTGCAACACGAGATTGATCTTCATCCAACCATCTCTCTGTCGGGTGGAGAGAAGCCTTCTCCCTATTAGTGGCTGTGTACCTTACAGCTTTGAGACCTACAGCAGCAGGTAGAACTGAACTCGGAGTCGGTCAGGGCGCCACCTAGCCAAACCATCTTTGATGGTGGTTTGATACAAGTTCAGTTGCCTTTTTTCTAAAAAAAATTTGGTCACTCAATCCACAACTGTTTGTGGGACACTGCTGTGCGCAATTGGCCACAAAAATATATAGTCAATTCACTTCACAATATATTCTGTGAAGCGCTTTGAGACTTCTCAACTATTTGATAAGAGGCGTAATCTATAATAATTATCACCTAATATATCTATAAGGATTATTATTATATTTTTAGAACCCAAATAAATCCAACACTCTGGTCATATTTCAGGATTTGCTGAAATGGCAATCTCACAGATTGTACCTGCTATCCACATGCAGTCAAGTTCATAATGCAACTCAATTAATTAAGAGCAGAAATAAAAAAGTCCTCAATCCCACACCTCGGATCTTTCAAGGGTGAAAAATATCATCTGAATGTTAAGCCATTTGCCAAAGACTGTTTCCTTTCCTTTGATAACCCCAGGATTTTCATTGTAGTTACTGCTGTTGTGGTTGTGATTCAATCAAAGCTCACTGTTGTTCTGTCTAATATCTCTACCAAGTATCTGTCCTGCTGACAAAGCTGTTTATTTTGGACTCCTGTGGGTTTGCTTTGGAGATGAGCTAACAATGCAAACAGTTCTCTTATCCACATTACTGCCTTCCTGCTGGGATGTTAATGAACCCTACAAATATATACCAACGTCTTTATAATCTTTCAGGAAGAAATACAACAGCTTCCAGTTATGTAGTAATCACTGAAATAGAACCTTAAAATAAATCCGAGCCAGTTACTCATTCCTGATGCAGACACTTTCTGACTTAATAACTCCTTCATTGTGTAGTAGTGCCAGAATATGCTTTGTAGATGATTTGAGACTGAATCGAGTCTGTTGCCCTCACATGACGAGGCAGTCTGGGGTGGGTGTTGGTGCCACGGTGGTGCTTTGCCATGTCATTTGGACTGACTCAGCAAGGTGGTGGGCAGTGGGGGGGTGGGGGGAGAACAAGGCATGAAGTCAAACTTCCAATAACACATTTCAATAAACTGACTCAGAATGCTTAAATCTGTGTTAAAATGAGTGTGTTTTGGAAGCTGGGTTTATACTGATCGAAAATTTGCACTATTTGCAAAAAAATTTATGAGTGATGGATTTGGAGCTTGGATCACACACCTGGAGCCGCCTGTGGGGTGAGAAATCCCAAATCGTATCAGATGAAATGTTTTAAACTGATGCCTGTTTGCCTGTCCAGGTAGACGCTAAAGATCCCAATTTGAAATGGCACTATTCAAAAAGAGAAAGGGTTTCTCCTGGTATCGTGCCAATAGTCTTCGAAATACAATTGGTCATTCAGTGCATCGCTGTTTGTGGGACATAGCTGTGCAAATAGCTTTCGTGTTCACCCACAAAATAAACACAGCCATACAGCGAGATCCCGACAACGTGACAAATCAAAATGTAAAGGTTAATATTACACATCATGCATTACTATAATTTCAGAAAGACACATCCGAGTACCTCCAGGATTTACTATTTACGAATCCTTTGGCAAATACTGTATCACAAAGTAAACTCCACTGCATTTTTCATGGCTGTGGAAAGTGCCTGTGT